AGCTCTCTGGGTGCAGGATTCAGAGCTGAACACAGGGGACTGCCGTTCTCCTCCAGAGGCAGATTGCTTGCTGGCTACTACTGCATAACAGTTCAGCACAGCGGTGACACTGACAGCCATGCCAGGAACACATCAGCTTCTTTGCATCGGGACTGTCACTCAGTCTTCAGCCAGTCATCTCTGCTGTCAGGCGGTAACTCTGTGAACAGAGAAGAGCCTCTGCAAGAATCCTGTTCCCAGGAGGCCGTGATGTCCACAGGATTGGAAAGTGGGTGGATGCCCAACCTCTTTCTGACAACACTCTAGAGACACTGCATACAGACACCTTTACACCTCAGCACCAAGAGATTTTGCTTGGAGCATTTACCACAACCTATTATCTTCATTGAATTACCATTACTCATTACTGTATATGGGCCCCACCATTGCTAGCAGAAGACAATGGCTACTATCACATCGGGAACTTTAAGCATTTCAGGTCAATCATATTATGAGAAGGGATGAGCACATAAGAAGATTGTCTGTTCAGATGTTCAACCAAATACTGAACATTTAGGGAGTTCTACATGGATAAATATGACAATAGTTTGCTAAGGAAGCAGCGGGAGCTTGTACCTGCCATGTCCTTACCAACCACTGACATAACTCAATCCATTCACTTACATGGCTGAGAATCCCCAACCATGCAAGCAAATGAATGGGGGCTGGACGGGCTACATTGCCTTTTTTTGTTTATGTGGCAGGCATCGTGATTGATGATGGAGTGACAATAAGGTAACATTTTTTAAGTTTTTTACTTTTTAAATAAAAGACATTCAAATGTTTGAGTTCTTTTTTTCTAGGTTTTTTTTTGTGAATGAGTAGGGGTACAATGTACCCTTCACTCATTGAAATCAGGGGCTATCTGGGGGCCCCGTAATAAATTAATATAAAAGCATCAACCAGGTGGAACAAACAATACATAAGACTCGGACGAACTTGCAAAGATGGCCACCATCCCAGAAACCGAAGCGTGACGACGGTACGTAAGGCCCCACCCAGCGCATTTCGTGCACATGCATGCACTGCTGACGTCAATCTTTCTGTACTTAAATAGTCTGTGGGCATGGGAAACTTGACGCACCATCTCACTGTAGATCAAACGGCAGCCATTTTTCCATGGACAAGGTCAAACAAGTATGAAAAATGACATACTAAATGCCAAGCAAGGAAATATGGGCATCTTTTACTGCAGATCAAACTGTAGCCATTTTCCCATGGTCAAAGCTAAACCAGCATGGGAAACGGCAAACTAAATGCCAGTATGGACTTTAATATGCCCATACTTCCTGTGTGGCATTTAGTTCCCCATTTCCCATAATGGTTTGGCTTTGATCATAGGAAAACGGCTACTATTTGAACCATTTTGGTTTATTTACACATCAGACATTGCTTGAGATACATGTTACATACCACTTTGTCCATGAGAGAGAGGCTAATAATTCTAGATTAACTCTATACTGATAACCAGTAGGGGCTTTTAAAGTGTTGCCTATAGAAAATATAGGGTTACTTGGCGCAAGCTCATTTTTTATATTTTACCAAAAAATGGGTAATATATTGCATTTTTTGTGCTCTAAAATCAACTTAAATGCACTGTACCTTTTGTTGAAATGTTGTAATTGGAATTACCACTATTCAATGTTCCAGATTCTCTGCTTTCAGAAAATATTTAAACTAGAGTTTAAGCTGTTGATTGTTGAATATGTTGTTGATTATACCATGCATATAAACATTTTCACTAAACTATATCTAATGCCAGGGCTTTTTTTCATAGAGAATAGGTGCAGAAACTCTCCCCTTCTGAACCACTTTTTCACAGTCTATGAATTCTTATACTGTACCGCGCTCCAATATTATCAACCTTTTGTGATTAACCTTTTTTGGTTGTGTGAATTTCTTAATATACCACCTATAATCCAATCATTACTTACTTCTATGGTGCTTAAATATACAATTAACATAAATTAATTTATAAATATGAATTAAAAAATTATATGTTATTATAACAAATATTAATAAAAAATTAATGAAAAAATTGGAATGTCAATTCTATGTGAATAAAATAATAAAAAATTAATAAAACATTTAAAAAAAAAAAAAAAAAAAAAAAAGGGAATGTCAATTATTTTCTTTAAATTTGAGATGGTGTTGTTATTCAATTTAGTTAATGTGATAAGTCTGTGTTGGCAGCTTGAACCTCTCCCTTGTCTCCTCTCCTCTCTCTAGTGCCTGGCGATCCAATATTTAATAAATATTCACTTAAGCACACAATTAACACTAATAATAGAGTAAGTTGACTCCTGGTGGCTCACAAATAACTATTCTATTAAAATCACTTTTTCACAGTCCCTTGGTTCCACCTCAACCCACCTGCCAGTACCGCACCTTAGAGAGAAAACACAGCAAAGTATCATTTTCTGGTGCTATGTAATTTATACGAAATTTATTATTGATAGCAAGAAAAGCAGTAAAATTCATCTCCTGTAGCCAGCAGCAATAGATATCTTAGGTAACAAAATACCACCCTAGCAACAACAGACACCCCCTCCCCCCAGCAGCAACAACAGATCTCCCAGCAGCAGCCAGCATTAATAGACTCTTCAGCATCCAGCAACAACAGACCCCTCCCTCAACAGTAGATCACTTACAGCAACAATAGATCCCCACCAGCAACAACAGACCACCATGCAAAAACAGATCCCCTCCAGTGACAATAGGTCCACCAGCAGCCAGAATCAATAGACCTTCCAGCACATCCCATCACCACTGCCACCACCCCTTGTCATTACATTACATCAGTGCTGGAGCTGTGTTCCCTCATGTTACCTCTAAAAAAAACAAAAGCCCTGTCTAACGCAAAAAATATATGAACCATTTGCCGTCCTGAGGATTTACCTCCTACCTGACGGAGCCATTTTTTGCATTTTGGAGTTGCTTTACTTTAACTGACAATTGCGCGGTCATGCAACGTTGCACCCAAATTAAATTTACATCCTTTTTTTTCCCACAAATTGAGCTTTCTTTCAATGGTATTTGATCGCCTTTGCGTTTGTTATTTTTGTTTTTTTAAAAAAAACTACAATTTTGAGAAAAAACTATATTTTTAACTTTTTGCTATTAAACATGTCCAGTAAAAAAATTTAAAAAATCAAATTTCATCATAAATTTAGACCAAAATATATTCTGCTACATGTCTTTGCTAAAAAAAAATCCCAATACATGTAAATGAATTGGTTTCCGTGAAAGTTATAGCGTTTAAAAAAATGGTGGTATAGATACTGGAATTTTTTTTTTTACTAATAATGGCAGCGATCATCGACTTATAATGGGGCTACGGGACTGCGGCGGGCATTCTGACACTGGGGTGAACTGGGGGGAACTGACTACAGTGATCAGTGCTAAAAAAAGCACTGACACTGTACTAATGGCACTGGGCAGGAAAGGGTTAACATGAGGAGCGATCAAAGGGTTAACTGTGTGTTGGGAGTGTTTTACTGGGGGGGCAGTAAGCACACTGCTTTAAAATAAATGAGTTAGTTTCTATGTAATATAGGCTGTAGAAACAGAAAGAGATAGCCCCACCGTCTCACACTTTGCCTGGCCTGAGTGGTTAGCAGGTAAAAGCAGCCTCAGCTTGATTTATCCACGCAATGCCTTCAACATGTTTTACTCTGCCTCCAGGGCCTAATCATGGGGGTCCATGATTAAGCCCCACTGGTGGGATAAACATGATGGGGCGTGACTTGGATGAATCGAGCTGGGGCTGCTTTTAACCAACTGAGGCCCTTTGGTGAGGAAAATCGCTGCTCTGATAAATGGTACTTAAAAAGAATGATTTTTACTGTATATCCATTTTCACTCTGAATTAATTAATTTTGCTTTGATTTTCACAAATTCACACTTTGATTTTAACAAAAATAAAAAATGTATTCAAAACCCTTTCTTTAAAAAATTCTCACTTTAAAGTTTATAATTTTGTACTTTGAACTTATCTCTGTAAGCAAATTAGAAATAGCAGGGTGGAGTAGGGGACCTGAGGGCAAAGGGGCAAAAAGGATGCTTTAAGGGCATGATAGTTAGGGTCAAAACTCTGTTGTCGCCCTCCACTGGAGGCCTAAGCATGTGGTTATTTTGCTTAAAGTGATTTTAATCCCTCGTTTTTTAAGCAATTTCAGCAGCTGATTTATTCACTCCACTGGAGGCCTAAGCATGTGGTTATTTTGCTTAAAGTGATTTTAATCCCTCGTTTTTTAATCAATTTCAGCAGCTGATTTATTCACGTACTAAGTATGCAGCTTCTTTATCACTGTAATCCTTGCCTATGTTCCAGGTTAAGCTGGTGATTTGACTGCTGGCCCAGATTTCTTGTTTCAGGGAGGCTCCCTTCTCTTGCAACCTCCTATGGAGTCACCATTGCATGCAGGGACTAGAGTTGTGTCTCTCTAAACTGTGTTCATTAATAGAAACAGATAACCGCAAAGCCTAGGATGGCAAGGCAATCCCCTGCTCCTCCCTCCTCCCAGCTAACTGACTGAAGACTGCACTGTCCACTGATAACTCTATCTTGTGAAGACCAGAAGATCAGAAAAGCAACATCAAAAATTGTAAATTTCAAATTTTGGAGTAAGAATGTTAACAAAGTTTTTTTTTGTGCTCAATGTGTTAAACTAAAAGTACTAAAACTAAACTAAAACTATTTTTAAGCAATTGCAACCAAAAAAGGCTAAAGAAGTAACAAACTGTAAACCATAATAACATAAAAATATTTACATGTAACATACATAGTATATATGAACTCACTGGGCCATGTCACACTGGCAATTTTTTTTAGCAGCAGTCTATAGAAGCTACAGAATCATGTCTTCTTAGGGTCAGTTCACACCAGAATGCAGTGCAGGCATGCGTTCAGAGCAGGGGTGGACTGACAACTCATGGGGCCCCCGGGCAATAGGGGAGCATGGGTCCCCTGTGTCCTTGCCAACACCCAAAAAAGCCTGTGAAAAATCCAATGAAAGGAACCAGGGGCATCTCATGGGGCCCCCTACTGACCCCGGACCCTTGGGCAGTGCCCGAGTGCTCAAATGGTCAGTCCGCCCCTGGTTCAGAGCATGCATGCTCCTTCATCAGGCCATCTTGATGAAGATAGATGGCCTGATGAAAAAGCATGCATGCTCCAAATGCGTGCCATGCCTACTACTTCTCTACCTGGAGCTGACATCACTCCCGTCCTGCCCTGTGGATCCACACTGACCAGGATGTACTGGAAGCCACCAGCATAGCCAAGGACAGTGCATTAGAGACCTGCCTGCAGCGGGACTGAACAGGAGTTTCACAGCGGTTGACACCAGTTTGACAAGTGCTCATTTGACTATTGCTGTTGTGAGTTGCCAATTTTGTGGAAATAAATTATTTGTTTTTAGTGCTGCACTTAGATGGCGCTGCTTCTCTCCTTTTATGGTTCACACAAAGTCTCTTCTAGATCTTTTTGAGCTACCACTGAGTCAAGCATTGTTGGATTATCCCTTAACCACCCTTGGACGTTAAGGACTTTACTTGCGTGGTTCATTTACTAGCCATCACATAATATATCCAGTCTTTTTCCTCCTAGTGAGCCAAATATCTCTCTTGTTCTAGCCTAATTCTACAAAACTGAATGATCTTAATGTTTGCAAAACTTACTTTGTGAAGATCCTCACACATTTCCTTCTTTGAATTCTGTGATACATATTCACTATACCCTGTGAGTAGGCACTGCAGTGTCACACATTTCACAGAGCCTGCCTTCTGACCAACAGAGGTGCTGAGAAGAGGAGTTTCCACAGCAGAATTACTGATTGCAGGCAGCAAGGTATAATGGGATATGTATTCCTTAGAAATCAGGGCCAGATCTAGTCAGTCTGATGTGTGGGTGCAGTAAAACATGTCAGGGGGACAGAGCATAAGAAGTCAGCAGGGCGGTGTACAAAAACAGGAATCAGTAGTGGAGTGTACTGGGGTTCAGCAAGGCAGAGAACAGGGGTTAGTAGAGCAAAGGGCAGGGATCAGTAGTTTGTACGGCAGTGTATATGGGGTTAGCAGGGCAGAGGACAGGCTGACAGTAAGGCAGAGGACGGGTGGTCAGTATGGTAGTGTATTGCAGGGTCATCAGTTTGTAGGCCAGTGTATATGGGGTCAGCAGGGCAGAGGATGGTCAGTCAGCAGGGGAGTGTACAGGGGTCAGTATGGCAGTGCACAGGGGGTCAGCAGTGCACAGGAAATATAGTATGTTTTTAAAGGCAAACTTAGCCTCTATACCAGTGGCTCTCAACCTTTCTAATGCCGCGACCCCTTAATACAGTTCCTCATGTTGTGGTGACCCCCAACCATAAAATTATTTTCGCTGCTACTTCATAACTGTAATTTTGCAGTGGGAGGACTAGTGCCCCATCATTGGTGTCAGTGGGAGGACTAGTGCCACATCATTGGTGTCAGTGGGAGGAGTAGTGCCCCATCACTGATGTCAGTGGGAGGAATAGTGCCCCATCGTTGGTGTCAGTGGGAGGAATAGTGCCCCATCGTTGGTGTCAGTGGGAGGAATAGTGCCCCATCGTTGGTGTCAGTGGGGGAATAGTGCCCCAACATTGGTGTCAGTGGGGGGAATAGTGCCCCATCATTGGTGTCAGTGGGGAATAGTGCCCCATCATTGGTGTCAGTGGGGGAATAGTGCCCCATCATTGGTGTCAGTGGGGGGAATAGTGCCCCATCATTGGTGTCAGTGGGAGGAATAGTGCCCCATCATTGGTGTCAGTGGGAGGAATAGTGCCCCATCATTGGTGTCAGTGGGGGAATAGTGCCCCATCATTGGTGTCAGTGGGGGGAATAGTGCCCCATCATTGGTGTCAGTGGGAGGACTAGTGCCCCATCATTGGTGTCAGTGGGAGGACTAGTGCCACATCATTGGTGTCATTGGGAGGAGTAGTGCCCCATCACTGATGTCAGTGGGAGGAATAGTGCCCCATCGTTGGTGTCAGTGGGAGGAATAGTGCCCCATCGTTGGTGTCAGTGGGAGGAATAGTGCCCCATCGTTGGTGTCAGTGGGGGAATAGTGCCCCAACATTGGTGTCAGTGGGGGGAATAGTGCCCCATCATTGGTGTCAGTGGGGGAATAGTGCCCCATCATTGGTGTCAGTGGGGGAATAGTGCCCCATCATTGGTGTCAGTGGGGGAATAGTGCCCCATCATTGGTGTCAGTGGGAGGAATAGTGCCCCATCATTGGTGTCAGTGGGAGGAATAGTGCCCCATCATTGGTGTCAGTGGGAGGAATAGTGCCCCATCATTGGTGTCAGTGGGAGGAATAGTGCCCCATCATTGGTGTCAGTGGGAGGAATAGTGCCCCATCATTGGTGTCAGTGGGAGGAATAGTGCCCCATCATTGGTGTCTGTGGGAGGAATAGTGCCCCATCATTGGTGTCTGTGGGAGGAATAGTGCCCCATCATTGGTGTCAGTGGGAGGAATAGTGCCCCATCATTGGTGTCAGTGGGAGGAATAGTGCCCCATCATTGGTGTCAGTGGGAGGAATAGTGCCCCATCATTGGTGTCAGTGGGAGGAATAGTGCCCCATCATTGGTGTCAGTGGGAGGAATAGTGCCCCATCATTGGTGTCAGTGGGAGGAATAGTGCCCCATCATTGGTGTCAGTGGGGGGAATAGTGCCCCATCATTGGTGTCAGTGGGGGGAATAGTGCCCCATCATTGGTGTCAGTGGGGGAATAGTGCCCCATCATTGGTGTCAGTGGGGGGAATAGTGCCCCATCATTGGTGTCAGTGGGGGGAATAGTGCCCCATCATTGGTGTCAGTGGGGGGAATAGTGCCCCATCATTGGTGTCAGTGGGGGGAATAGTGCCCCATCATTGGTGTCAGTGGGGGGAATAGTGCCCATCATTGGTGTCAGTGGGGGGAATAGAGCCCCATCATTGGTGTCAGTGGGGGGAATAGTGCCCCATCATTGGTGTCAGTGGGGGGAATAGTGCCCCATCATTGGTGTCATGGGGGGAATAGTGCCCCATCATTGGTGTCAGTGGGGGGAATAGTGCCCCATCATTGGTGTCAGTGGGGGGAATAGTGCCCATCATTGGTGTCAGTGGGGGGAATAGTGCCCCATCATTGGTGTCAGTGGGGGGAATAGTGCCCCATCATTGGTGTCAGTGGGGGGAATAGTGCCCCATCATTGGTGTCAGTGGGGGGAATAGTGCCCCATCATTGGTGTCAGTGGGGGGAATAGTGCCCCATCATTGGTGTCAGTGGGGGGAATAGTGCCCCATCATTGGTGTCAGTGGGGGGAATAGAGCCCCATCATTGGTGTCAGTGGGGGGAATAGTGCCCCATCATTGGTGTCAGTGGGGGGAATAGTGCCCCATCATTGGTGTCAGTGGGGAGGAATAGTGCCCCATCATTGGTGTCAGTGGGGGGAATAGTGCCCCATCATTGGTGTCAGTGGGGGGAATAGTGCCCCATCATTGGTGTCAGTGGGGGGAATAGTGCCCCATCATTGGTGTCAATGTGTGTGTCAGTGGGGAGGGGGAAATAGTGCCCCATCTTTGGGGTCAGGGGGGAGGAATAGTGCCCCATCATTGGTGTCAGTGGGGGGAATAGTGCCCCATCATTGGTGTCAGTGGGGGGAATAGTGCCCCATCATTGGTGTCAGTGGGAGGAATAGTGCCCCATCATTGGTGTCAGTGGGAGGAATAGTGCCCCATCATTGATGTCAGTGTGGTGGGGGGGAAATAGTGCCCCATCTTTGGGGTCAGGGGGGGAATAGTGCCCCATCGTTGGTGTCGGTGGGGGGAGGAATAGTGCCCCATTCTTGGTGTCAGTGGGGGGGGAGGAATAGTGCCCCATCGTTGGTGTCAGTGGGGGGGAGGAATAGTGCCCCATCGTTGGTGTCAGTGGGAGGAGGAATAGTGCCCCATCGTTAGTGTCAGTGGGGGGGAGGAATAGTGCCCCATCGTTGGTGTCAGTGGGGGGGAGGAATAGTGCCCCATCGTTGGTGTCAGTGGGGGGGAGGAATAGTGCCCCATCGTTGGTGTCAGTGCATTGGTGTCAGGGGGGGGGGAGGAATAGTGCCCCATCATTGGTGTCAGTGGGAGAAATAGTGCCCCATTGTTGGTATTAGTCACACAAATGATGGGGCACTATTCCTCCCACTGACACCAATGATACTTACCTTGCTGACCCCTGCTCCAGCCTGGGCTCGCTCTCTCACTTACCTGTCAGCTGTCTTCCTTCTCTGGCCGCTCTCCTCTTCACTTACTCCGGCAGTTCCCTCGATCTTCTTAGATCTACGCGCGCTGCCGCTCGGCTCCTCCTCTCCAAGCTCCACCTCCTCGCCGGTGATTGGCCGCCTGTGTGCCTCTCCTGAGCTACAGTTCCGGTGGCCAATCAGCGGCGAGGAGGCGGAGTTGTTGAGGGATCCCGGAGGTGTGGCCAGGTGACAGGGCAGCGTGTCATCCCGCCCACACATCGACTGAGTCAGAGGAGCGGTGTCTCGGTTCCTAAGACCATCGGAAATATGTGTTTTCCGATGGTCTTAGGCGACCCCTGGGAAATGGTCGTTCGACCCCCAAAGGGGTCGCGACCCCCAGGTTGAGAACCGCTGCTCTATACAGTATAAACAATATGTAAACATTGACAATGTTAACAATACTCATAACAAGTAAACTGATTGGCTTTATAATTAAAAAGTAAAAACGGGATGAGAAAATGTGGGCAGGACTGGAATTATGATAGACATGGGGCACCCTGGGAAAGAACAGAGAAATAAGTTCGGTGGCTGGCCAGTGAGAGGGGTTTAAAGGGGGATTGAACAGAATCTGTGCCTGCTGTATACAATGCACACCTATAACACAGTCCTCATACCCACAAAATATTACATACTGTGCCACAACCAACAGTCTCAAAGACACAAATAAACCTCAGGACAAAAAAAATATTTTTTAAATTAAATGTTCCCATTTCATGTTTTTATGCACAACAAAAAGGATATTTTTGTCTTAGGTGGCCATACATGGATCAAAATTAATCTGCTTCAGTAGGGACCAGTTGAATTCCCATTCATGTATGGGAAGGCTGGTTGTACAGAAGTTGATCTACCGATCGATTTCCGTAAAATCAGCCTTTAGGAAGATTTCTGCATGATCAGCACTACCGACTATAGCTGGCAGCACTGATCAGTGTATTCTGGCAGCATTGAAGTCTCTTCATTGTCAGAACACATTACCCA